TCCTGCTGTCCCCGTATTTTCGTATACTCGAAAATGGTACGGCACAGTGGTGTAAAGTGTCTAAAACTGTAAAAATACGTGTTCGAACAGCCAGAATCTTCTACGTGATCTTTGTCAAAGTTGTTCGATTATCGTAATTCGTGTAATTTGTAGTGACACGTGCACGATGAAGTTACGAAGCGAGAATGTGAGAAAACTTCAGCCGCAAGGAGCGCACGTGTTCAGCGAGACACAATTGAAATGTGTACAGGTGTTAAACCCTTCGACTTATTTTCTTCAATCATTCGCATTTTACTACATTTGAATTTTTCCGTCTAATATGTACATATATTTACAAACTACGTCTTTAACTCTATTACAATTATTAACATTAAAACAATGAGGTTTCAGCTATCTAAAGAGTAACCAAAATTAATGAATAGAAATAGAAGGTAAAAAGATTTGTTCATTTTTAAATTCTGCTAAATAGAAGGGTTAATTCCACTCTGATTGTTTATATTAAACATACTAAACACGCTCGGCCATGCAAAGAGATCATTGATCGATATAAGTACGTTTTGTTGAATTTAGCATAGTTGCAAAGCAAAGTATATTATCTTGGGAGGAAAAGAAAGAGAAAGAGAGAAAGAGAGAGAGAGAGAGAGATAGAGAGGGGGGAGATAGAGATAGAGAGGAACAGATTATTTAAATCAACAAATAGTGTACTGAGACAGCAGAGATACGGTCATAAGACGAGATTCAGACCGATATTTTGCGCATATCCGTATATAAAAGATTTGATAGAAACAGAGGATGGGCGTGAAGCGTGTGACGATAAAGAGGAAAAAGTCTCACGCGTTCGAGCACCAACCTCGAAGGCAAAAGATTTGCGAGCGAGAACTTCGGATTAGAGTAGGCGGTTAGACATTGGAAAATATCCTCTTTGGCCTCCGGAGTGCTGGGGCTCGAGTCCTCGTTGTACACGTGTCGCATCAACTCCAAGCGCTGTCTACAAGTTAACACGTATTACTTGCGTGAGTGTCTCTGTGCGTTTTTATTCAAGCACGCATTTGATTAAAAGCGGTGATATATCCTGATCCGCAGTTCCGTACTTTTATCGCTCCTTTTATCGACCTCCTTTTCTTTCGTTCATACAACTAATTTTAAACATTTATATTGTAATCATACACTCGAGAATAGAGTCAACATTTTATTTTTAGTACGTTTGCTACTGATATTAGGAAAAAGAACGAAAACAGTTATTATGTTTGGTACAGATGATAAGTGGCAATAATAAAGTCTCCTGATATCTTGTTTTATACGAAAAATATGTTTTGACGTTTAAAATTATATGACTCACCCTGTATAAGTGAATGTAAAACGATAAGGTAAAGCATGTAAGCACAAAATAAGATGTGTTCATAACAAACCTGAGTTTATCAAGTGTCCAGTAATGCGTTGCACCATTCTTTGTATCTTGCACTTCTACGGCAACTATTGTACGTGGGAACGGCCTTTCTTCTTCTTCGTCGTCGTCAATAGCAGGCAGGAGATCCGAAGGAAGTGGCGAGTAAAGCGTATCCGTGAGTAAAGTAAATTGGAATTGCACCTATAATGGACATATGTGATGCTTAAAATAAAACAGGTAGAGAAATTTTGTTACCTGCAATAAACGCAAGAATATGGTGATATGATAAAAATAAATGATCAATGAAATTATAAAAGCAAGCTGTAGAAACCATATCGAGATGGGAAGTAAGCGGATGGGACCAATTAAAGAAAACGTTAATGATTAATAAATAGTATAAGAATTAGATGGAATAAAGAATAAGGGAACACAGAGGAATTACTTGCGAATACAAAGTATTTCTTTGACTCTTAGAACGTCAAAAAGGGGGTACGTAAAAGTGCATCAAGTGCTTTTAAGCAAATATTCAAACACAAAGATTTCAAAAATTTCTTCAATTCGTATAATTTAGACTTAAGTGCCAGAATAATATTATAACCAACATTTGACTAAAAAAATTCATTTTACAATATTAAATAATTTTTGAATCTGACGAAATATTTGTTTGTTTTTAAAGGAATGTCAAAATATATGATGAGAAATGTGAATGTTGATGACTCATGAACCAAGAAGAGTCGTAAAAAGGTTTTAATTGCATTGGTTCATCAGAAAATGAACTACGGATGTACCTTCTTTTTGAGTTCGACAGAAATAGCGTTAGCTTCTTTGAGGAATATAGCGTTGCCCCAGAGATCATCTCGAAGGCTTGTGAATTGATGATATTTCCACTTGCGGAAGGCCCAAGCGGCCAGCTGGAACTCTCTCTCGGTCCAGTTGCTCTCTGCGTCAAACAAGGGGTTGACTGAAATGCAAGCCATTACCAGGCAAAACAGTCAGAGAAGCCAAGCATTTCGTGAATACCGTTTCTTTCGTTAAAAGAAGCCACTGGCGTTCTGTCCACGATCAGATGATGCACCACTTTATATCGTGACAAGCAATCTTTTTAAAAACATACCTCAAAATTATGAACGACTCAATCTGCTTTAACAAACGGAGAAAAAAACTAAAAATTTCAAGAACAATAAAGTAAAAGAAACATAGTGATAATGTATCGATAAACTACATGCGTGCATCGCAAGTTAATTGAAAGACAAAGTCGAACAATGAATGTATATTTAGAAAATATATTATTAACAGTTCCTTACGTACCATCATCTGATCGTCTCATACAGATCCATACAATGATAGAATTTGTAATGGAATGAAATTGAAATTATCACAGGAATCTGTTGCACCTATAATTGATTTTCTCTAAAAAAGTTTAGGATACAAAATTTAGGTTAACCATTACAAATCCAGAGCTTTTAACGAAAGAGAAAAGACGATCTGTATATGATCGTATTTCATTTGTATACAAAGTTGAAAGATCACCGTCTTAAAATTATATTATTTTAAGTTATTGTGGTTGATCTTATACAACTTTGTTTACGTGAATTTTAATAATCGTAAAAAATTAGGATATACTACTTATCATAACATTAAAAAACATTCAATATGCTTACTCACCGAAGATATCCTCTTCGATATTATTAAAATCTTCAGGTGTATAACTGCTGTACATTGACATCGTCATACTTTGTACTTCTACTTGTCTTTGAAGTGCGTCTATTCGAGCTTCGTAGTTCTGCGCAAAAGTGCAAATATCCTTTGATGATGATGAATAAATCCTTATGTCGAATATCTGTTAATTTATGGATTATTATTTATACCTACTTTTCTTTGTTCCTCAAATAATTGATCTGCCTCTTCCTTCTCCTTGCGACGTTGTTCTTCAAGAACTAATAATCTTTTCTCCATTTCAACTTTTAGATCGATTCCTTGCTTCTCTAATAATTCAATCTGTGCAAAGTTCCAGTCAACTGTTTCTCCGTTTGCGGGAGTTTCCGCAGGAGATCCTTTTTCTCTTCGTTCACGGACTAAACAATTAATAAAATAAGTACTTCTTTTTAACCAATATCATTAATTACATAACATGAGATACAAATCAAACGTAAAGACTCAAGTATAGAATAAACGCCGTACTCACCCTGATCAGGATGATTGAATCTAAACACATGATTCTTTCCTAAGATAACACGGGATCCAGTCTTCAGGACGACTGGTTCAGTAATCTCACGTCCATTCACATAAATTAAAGCTCCTTTTTTCGGAATTAGGGTAATAATACTCTCATGATTCTCAAAGACACAGTGCTCGCTGAGTATATGCGGACCACAAAGTTGAATATCTTGTGGTATATTAGCTTCGGCGCTACCGATACGCGTGAAACCATCTTTGATGTAATAAATTAAACATTCCGACATCAGTGGATCCTCGTTTAGATTCACCAAGTGTGGAGTTTTCTTTGGAGAGAATACACCAACTGTAACTCCATCCTCTTTCACAGCGACTCCCATTTCTGCGAATGCTGCCTCACGTTGTAAACGAACCAGCTCGGTTCGTTTCAATTTCTCCTCCCATGTTTCATTCAGTTCTAAGAAAATAAAATTTTGACAGTAGCATGTTATTTAGTTAATATTTTTTATGATATTAATTTTATTTTAAATTATATTGTACTTACCAGCTATCAACTTTTCTGAAGCTTGTAATTGGTCCACTGCTTCCTCAGCAATAGTCGATGTGGTGTGAGACGGAATTCTGGGTCGAGTTTCCTTCACATCGTCCTCGCGTTTGTTTGCTCGAACGATTTCGTCTCCTGCGGGGCAAACAGAATCGAATAAGAGGATAGAAGGTATAAGGGTAGAATTCAGAATGGCAAGTCAGCCAGGGATATAATACGCGTCTCGGAAACACCAAAAGCCATAACTAAAGCAGTGGCGCAAGTAAAAGAGAAAAATTTTCGAGGGTTTGTCCCGTGACGAAAAATATTTCTTAGAAACAAAAAAAGATAAAGGAAATAAAACATGTAATTGGATCCTTCCTTCCATGAATAAATGTTATTATTCAAATCTCTTTATAGTCAAGCAAACTTGTTTGAAATTTATTCAAATAGCATGTATAATAAAACAATTTTTTTAGCAATTTCATTTTCTTATCACAGAATTCGATTTTGCAAAAATATTGAAGTTTGTTTTTTTTTGTTCATCTTTTGGCTATCACGTAGAAGAATGTTTCGCTTTAAGGAAAGCTAGGGATGAAGTTCGATATGAAATTTCAAATAATCAAATTGAGATATTTTACAAATGTCTGCGAATGAAAAATATTTTCATAACGCGTTGTAAAGACGACAAATACAAACGAAGATTTGTATATTTATGCAAATTAAGCGCAGCGATTAGTCATGTAATACTATTCAGCTACAGTGTTGTTTAAACTTGTTCAATTTATGTTTAATAAATAGTGCTCGTGTCACTGCGTCCGAGATGCGTTCGAGTTATTCATTGTCGAGTGCCATGCAATATCTTTAGGCTAGTTCGGGAACAAAGTGATGGGTCTAAGTGGATAATAAGCGAGGCAAACAACACGTGTTTACTAGACAGGAATTCTGACACAATGGGAAACTATAAAAAGCCCGAGTTCGTATGTGGCCGCTCGACGCGGAATGATTTCTGTACGTGGTTATATCGTTTAAGGTTTATCTCGAGACGTTCACAAGATTTCTCTAAATAATGCTAATACATCGATCTTGATAAAACTGTTTTGTTAATCACGCAATCGTTATATTCCATATAGTATCTCTTCCTTATAAATTTATCTTAAGGGCGATGGTATCTTTTTTTTCAACGAATTTCCAATCAAGATCAAGTTCTTTCTAACTTTAAACGATGATTCGTTTTTGTCGATTAATTACAATTTATTATAATTCAAACTGATCATATATTAACTAGTGATTAATTATAACAAAGATCAAGGTTTTGATTATCTGCGTGTCTCCATTTGTTGCATATTCAGAGACTGGACCGAAATGTCCATTGGAGACTCGATATACTTCGCTAACGTTGTATGTACAATTTACAAGACAGTTCTCTATCGTATGCTATCATTTGATGTGTCCATTCTTTGTCGTTCACTTTTTTCTTTTTTATTTTTAACGAGAAACATTGCGTTTAACGCTAAAAGCTGCAAATTATGCTGCCTACGAGAGACAGGAAACAATGATAATCATTAGGCGTTAATTGTCACAGGGTTGAATACATATGTTAAAGGAAAAATAGATGCGTTTCGCGAAGCAGATGTAAAGAGAATTTTGTCGGAAATCGACAAAAACACAAAGAGATAGAGATAGATAGATAGATAGATGGCACGCAATATGCACTTGGCCGTGAATTAAGCGGACGTTCAAAGAACAGGCGCAGAAGAGTGATCGATTGTCTGGCTTTTATAAGTCTTTTCGCTGTGTGGATTGTCGGTAATTTTACTTACTAGATTCTTTCTTTTCATATGTGACTTTACCATCTGGCCCTACGTCAAGCACAGGGGAAACAAAGAAAAAAAATGTACTATGTAAATTGTGGCTTGCCTACCGCGCACTACTTTTTTTACAATTTGCTTTCCCTTTTTACTTTTCCTTTCTTTTCTTCTTTTTGTTAATCGTCCTTTCCTCTTTCTCACGAGTTCGCATATTTTATAATGTATGAAACATAGCAATATTTCCTTCTTTCACAGAAACGTACGATACTGTTAATCTTTTCCGCGAAAACTATAATAATATTTTACTAATTGTAAGTTGCGATAGTTTTTTTCTTCCTTGTCTTTTCTCTTTGTCTTCCTTTTTTTAAACAAGCAATGTATAAACTATTAAAGTGAAAGTATTATCCGATATAAGAAACAATAATTTTCTTATAGTTTATGCTAGTTTTTAAATATTTAAATATTAAATACTAATTATAACAGATATTATAGTTTCTACACTAACTAGTTTCAAATGTGATTATACTGTTTATCTTAATATATTTCTTCCATTTTATGAGAAAACAATGCGTCGTATGTAATATTTTCGTTATAGAAATATTAAAAAACGAAAAGGACCAACTTTGACAATCAGACACGTGTAAACCTTCCCAAATTATTCAACTTTCAACTTGGTTATTGTTATTAGCGGTTAATTTCATACAAAGCATCATTTGCATGTATCTGGTATAGAATCATACGTGTACTCGTACGCATAAGAGAGAACATCAATCTCTGAAATTCAAATCTTGTACAGGGAAAAGCCGACTTACCCTCTTGCACGTCAATACCCTCTTGTTTCAATAATTCCCGTAACTTCTGAATCTCCTCTTTGAGTTCTCTGATAAGCTTGGCATTCGCGTCTTCGTTAACGACAGCTTTGCAAACTATTTGTTTCGCTCTGTCTGCGTATCTACAATTTACCAAAATAACAATAGTTGTGTATAAAAATACATGTAAAAAATTTTTTAATTACTGATGAATAGAAATTCATATTACATTCATTGAAATATATATTCTCTTATTATCAAAGATTCTCGAAGATTTTAATTATCAACAAATTATAGTATTGTTATATTTAAATAGATTTAAGTAAAGTCAGTTATTTCAGAGAAATTAATTAATAAAGGTGAAAATAGAACTGTGAAATTACAAGGGAAACAAATAACTATACCGTAAGGTGGAAAGGGTTTCATCGTAATTGATGTCGGCTGGACTCACTGCCGCAATCATCGCTGTTTTAGAGTTACCTCCTAGATTTTCTCGTAATAGCCATGTTAGAACAGAATCTCTATAGGGAATGAAATCAGCCTTTTTCTTCTTTTTAGTTGCCTAGGCGAGCAAAATAAGAATATCTCTCATTTATTATCCTTTCTTTATAAAAACATATTAAAAAAAAAAAAAAAATTATAAAACTAATATGTAATGTGTATGGAAAAATAGGGATTATTATAATAATTGTACAATAATTACTATGCACTTATTGTTACTGAATTAAGTAAGTGGGATAAAAAATTTATGAATACAAGAACTTACTGCCTACAAATCCATAGCAAAATGGTAGCAGAATAAACAAAAGATACGGATTTCGTTAATACGAAGTTTGGGCAATTTTGAAAGGTTAAAATTGTACAACCTTCATACAAGGTATTATCTAACATGAACACGAATGTTTGTTAGTCACGCGAATATTTCATATAGCATGCACCATTTACAATCTATTTTTGTGCAGTCTATACAGTTAACACGAAAAGTGACTTTTTCGCAGTGAAATATTCCATTGTACGAAAAATATAAATTTCAAATTATGCTATGGGTGCGTAATACATAATAGACGAGTGGTGCTATCATACTTTCTATTCAAACAGATGAAATTTGCTTACGATTTCTGCTAGGGCACTGATGACTTTTCCAAGGGTTGTTAAGCTTTTATTAATATTGGCACCTTCTTTTAATCTTGTACCCTTTGCACCAGTAGAATCAGCCCTTTCGGAACCCGCCAAATCGACCAGCGAGATTTTGCTGACTTTCTCTGTCACTAATCCAGTTGCAGAGTCCTGCTTTTGTTGCGTAAAGAATATTGTAAACACGGCGTGAGATCTACTAGAAGTCTCGTTCATATTTGTAGCTGCTACCGTTCTGAAATAAAAAAAAAAAGATAAATAAATTGTTTAATTGATTTATAAAATAATCACTGATTTATCAAAAATTGGAACTTAATTAATTACATCTCATTATATGATTATATGATCACATTATATGATAATTCTTTTAACATATTTTTCAATTCATCACTTGAATTTGTTACTTCATTAATTTTTATACCTTGCTATACCTTAAATCTTAAATATTTATATTTATACCTTGCTTTATTGCCTTCATCGATAAGATCATGAATGTCTTGATAGGACATCACCGCTAATTTCGACAGATCTTCGACGTACGGTCCAAGTAGAGGATGCTCCCGCACACGGAGATTTCCTTTGTTCTTAGGGTTTAAGAGATCCCTCACCCTTTCGCAGTATATTTCCATATAACTCACTTCTACCGAATACTTCAGGCTCTCGTTTGAATTGCGACTGATTTTTCTAAAGAGGTCCTTGCAAATTTGAGGTATTATTCCTTCTTGACCCTCTTCTTGTTTACCCATCATGGTGTACGATTTTCCAGCACCGGTTTGTCCGTACGCAAATATGCATACATTGTAACCTACGTGTAAACGAAATTATCGTTTGGATTGAAAGATAAAACTTTAAAAAATTATAAGCGAGATATCCTTACTGATATTCACGAATAAAATTCTAGATTACGTATCATTTTGTATTTAATAGGCAAAGTTATTAATCGACAACATTTTGTTTATTATCGAATAGTATGTGTCTCTAATGAAGTTCCATTTCAATTACTATTTATTAAGATATAGATAAAGATAATATAAGAATAACATCTCCAAATTTTTGAACGATGACATATGTTTGCGTCTCGTGGATATGTGTCAAGAATGTATGAGAATTCGAACGACTAATTCCTCTCCAGATGGTATGTGGACACGAGTGTCGGTTTCTAGACGTAAATTCCGCGGTATGCGACAATTCGAATACACGATGTCCAAAGTATTTGAGAAATTGCACGATCAATCCCCGCAGACGTTCGGAAATCTTTCATTTTCTGCATTCTCACCTTCGAATGCGTGCTGCAACATCTCTTCACCGATATCCTTGTAGACCATTAGTTGTGAAGAATAATTTGAATCGTTTGGCTGCGACAGAGCAAATGGTCCATTTATTATGTTTTCTTATTATCTGCTTCCGATACCATTTTCGACGCAATAAATTATTAGGCATGCCTTTATCGCGAGTTTCTATTAATATTCATCTCGATTTCAGTAAGAAGCGAAGTACGTTATTCAAAGCACAGGAAATTATTTCTACAATGATAGCTTTTATAATGATAGCTTATCATTGATAAGCGCAAACTAATGATCTATTTGAGTGTTTTAACTTGATATCAGATGTAAATATGTATAGACCCACTTTAATAGCAATTTCCATCGATCAGTGATCTTAACTAACAGTGATTAACGTGGTAAACAATTGATCTTGTTAATTATGAATCGAGCTATAACCTATATTCATAACATGGTTTCTTCTTAAAGCAATAAGATAAAACACCGATACAAATGCTCAACTTATTTTTTCCAATATATATATATAATAAAAAGTAGATTTAATTATTAGCAATGAATAAAAGATACTTACGTCCATGGAAAAATAGGAATAATCATAATTGAAGCTTTTGAAAGCATCTTTGCTACCTGCTGGTGCTTTAGGGTTCAATATCGCTGTAACACGCAAAAGAAGAATTGATGATACAAAAAAGCCATAATTTTTATAAGAGATTCGTATTTTTCTTTCAATGTTCCATACATTATGCATTATTCACCATAAATAGATAGAAATTTCGAGTAGAAACTGTCGCAAACATTGGGAATATAAAGTACCCAAGCAAAAACTTTTTCCAGTTTACATATAAATGAAGAGGTACATAAATATGTCATATATATGCGTAAACAGATCGATAGTCAAATAAATAACTAGATTAATGCATAAAGCATAGTTATATGTCATGGTCAAATAAGGTCAGAAACAGATGGTAAGTAAGAGGAGAAAAGTGGATACGTAATACAAATACGTGAAAGTGGTAGGGAAACCAGATCCAGTAGATATCGTCGTACACGCCGATAAAAGAACAGGATTAATCGTACTTCAAAATTTCTCGATGAAATTACCGTGAATTCATCGCTTGTTACCAATGCATTTTTCAAAATTGATCCGATATCAAACTTTACCCACGAAATTCATTTGTACTTCATGATACTCAAAGAAGCGACATTTTTCTTTTAATTCGCGACACAACAGACCGATCAAATTTGACTAAATTGAAGATGAAAAATTATATCGAGTATCGCGTAAAAAAGGTCCTAAACCAAAAAAGAAAACCAATATGTTTAACTCGTCGTTTCCCAAAACAGATTTTCTTCCCTCTTCCGAGTGCAATTGTAATACACGCCATGTATACGGGAGTCCGCGCGGAATGTATACCAGCTGTGTAAACACTATCACGATAATTGGACGACAAATCGAACACGAGGAAACGGACATGCCTGTGTGAATTTAGCAATTGAGAAGCAGTTGTCATCGCGGGAAACGCGAGATTCTATTGTTCTAGTCCTTTCTTTTTTACTTGGTAGGAAAAGGGGATAAGGGAAGGAAGTAAATAGTAACCAGGCCATGATACGAAGACGGGGAAAAGAAACAGAAGACCGAAATTTGAGTGAACATCGGCGTGAAAGGATGACAATGCACGGGGATTAATTATACTTACAAGTGGTGTTGCCGGACATTTCGATGATGCATTGTGCCTCGCGGGAGATCTCTCGATTGTTAAAGGGTCGTACCCTCACCGCCACCTTTACCGACGACATTTTCCTTCTGCTTTTAATTCAGCGTCGGATGACGACGGCGGCGGTGCTGGCGATTGACTTTTTCCTCGTTTCTCTGTGGGAATAAAGCGCCGTCGTTAGCGGGCCCAGCAACGCGGAAGAGAAAGACACGATCGTAGGTTCCATTCACTAGCGGCCATACGCTCGTTAATTAATTCTAACTATACGTTCTTGTACGATAATCTTGCTCGATAATAAACCGCTAAATATTTCACGAGTCGAAAAAGAATGGGGTTGTAAGAACGAGGAATCGTAATTAAGAATGAAAGAAGAAAATACAATTCGTATAGAGCAAAATCATCGTCTTTAGAAATATCAATGGTATAATCAGTGGAAAGTTACGGATTGAAATTCTATTTAATCATTGTGTTTTAGTTTTATCGTTATGACCAACTCGCAATTTTATTCTGTACAATTCCAAATAGAATATTTGAAAGATGTTGGAGTCAAATATCATAAAACTTGTCGCCACCGTGCTTTTCTTCGACTGTGTATTATACGATGTTTAATGAAATTATTCTGTAAGAAGATAATTAATGTATTAAATTGAATTTTACTAGCGCAATTCGAAAATAAGAATAGCGAGAAAAGATTCATTTTTTGAGCAAGCTTCTTCGATCTTTTCTTTTTCAGGTGCTTGTATTTGATATTCTTCGATAGATGTCGATAGATGAAGATGTCGAGATGAATCTTTGAATGTTGACCAAATTGCAACAGGGAGGATGGTAACGTGTCAACGTCGAAGAAGTTTCAGTTTATTATGGTATATTTCGTTACGTGCTGATCGAATCTCGACGCTGTAAGGTCCGTAGCATTAATTACCCACCAAGAAGAGTAACTGGTGCATAGTATATGGCGTCGAAAATCGATATACCTTGACAAAAGGTTCGACGATCGGTAGATAATTATCCTTCCGTTCGTGAAACAATCGGCAACCGAGCCAATAAACATCAAGAGAATTAACGCCGAAACAAAAAGAAAAAAGCGAGTTATCGTTTGTACACAAATCCGATTAATCTTTTTAATTGCTGAAAATGAACAATTCAATGTGAATGTTTGTCACGCGACGCGAAATGAAGTTTCCGGGTATCGATTAGAATAAAAGACGATCAAGATTTCTCGATACTAAAGGCAATAAATTTAATGACAATTTTGTGTACCCGAGTTCTATTGCCAGATCGATCTATATCACTGTGAGTGCCGTGCCAATTTGAACTAGCGCTTGACTCACCCTTCTGTCTTTGAATATATTGAATTTTTAATATTTCTACAAACACCAAGCTTCTCGTTTTATACTTAAAATACTTTAAAATACGAGAAATAATATATGAAATAGTCCGTCTACGAGAACGTTTATATCATTCTTTCCCAATTTAATTATCAATTTTCAGTAACGTTAAAGCAACAGTAATTTTCTGTAAGTAATTCCATCGTACAAATGTGTTACTAATTTGTTCTTACATGAAACTGCGCAACGTTCGATAATTTAATTACATAATTATCGTGCTTATTAATTTCGTTGGCTAATGTCTCTATAAGTAATTTCGTTCATTAATACGAGTAAATGAGTCGAATACGTTGAAAACCAATCGATTAGCTAGGAAATGTATATCTTTAGCCGTCTATAGGACGTAATAAAATAAACTGTTGGTCACATAGTGTTGGTCTCAATGGTTGACCCGGTCTACTGCGAGCTTATCGACGTGCTCTCGCATTCTCACCAACTCAACTACATGGAAGAGTCCATATTAAACACGAAATTAGTTCTCGAAATCATTAGAATCTACTATGATCGCTAAATTTATCACACTGATCGACTTTCCATGCAACATTTCCATGGCAGATTAAGTAGACGTATATTCTACCTCAAGGACACATTTACAAGCCATATTTATAATTACGTTATTAAAATTAAACTCCAATACTACGTTGACCACGCAGTAAACAAACTACGTACAAGATTAATTTTCCAGGCTATTAGAATTTAAACGGCTAATAAATTTCGTCCGAAGATGCAACTCTCGACGGGCGCGTACATCGATTAAGGGATAAAGAAAATTCTGAAACTGTGCCGTTGTTCCAAGAATATTCCAATATTCAGGCTAAGTTCCTTTCTGGAAAGAACAGCTGCGATGCGGAACAGTGATTTGAATCATTGCAACGAAGGATCGATACAGTGCATTTGGAGCAAAGAAATTCTAGAAGTTGATCCCGCAGCACCGTGCCTTCTCCCAATGCTAAGTCGAACTATAGGTACAATTAGGATCGCCAGCAAACGTATTATTGCCACTCGAAGCGACATCAAAGATGCTTATTTTGCGAGCTTTCCATGGGAGAGTGAAAGCTTGATCCGGTGGATTGGCAAAGCAAGGAAAGAAGATGATTCCGATACGAGGACGGTACTTACAAGGAAATATCCATTTTTAAAATACTGTTTCTGAGTAATTGGCTCGCTTCGAACTAAGAATTGGCTCTTTGAAGTTCGTATAATAGAGCTAATCTGTCTACGTGAATTCTTAATTTATTTACACTGGCAACATACTAAGTAACGTTTAGGAGACATTTGAGTCAGGTTTGCGAAGAGTTAGAGAAATAAGTCGACTTGGTTTCTATCTTTGTAATCTATTTTTATTCACCCTTAAGATACAAAGATTGTTATGAAAATGGAAGAAAGGAAAAGAGTAAAAGAGTCGACGAGAATGTTCGAGAATATTCTGACAGGAACTTTGATGAAAATCCTCCAACCATTATGTTACTCGAAGAATAAACGAAAGTGACATTTCAATCGAAGAAAAACCCCCTCAAGGTGACGCAATTCTATTTAAAGTATTAGCTTACGTCAGTGATACATGGTAATGGCAGTTCCCTATCGTGAATGACAAAATCTCGATATTTTCGTGAACGAGTTTATTAAAAGAAACTCGAATTTCGATTTCAAAGATACACAAATAGATCCAAGGTATACGAGAAATTCGAAATTCATTAGCCATCGACTACAGATAAAATTTTTAATTCGAAGTTTAAAATGAAGAAATTTGAATTTTTTAATTTCGACTTTTAATTCGAAATTTCAAGGGTTTTTAAAAAGGTTTTTAAGCCTCATGACGCACCTTGAATTTGATAATTACTGCGTCATTTCAAAATGAAAGCGTACAGCCGGGGTGGTTCGAGTTTAAAGCATCGTTTAAGTGGCAGAACTACATCGCTATAAACGTAAAATAATTTCGGAGTCCGGCTTGTACTACCTTATAAATGTTATAATTTAATGGGGAAAATATCTGATAAGGCGAGTATCCTTGGTACGAGAATAACGATATCAGTAATATCGATCAATCGATAGTCCCGGCTGGCAAAATAAAAACTGCCGGCTGACTACGCATTGACACGAATCACTCGAAGAGTCCGCACAAGCATTGCGCTAATTCATTCGATTTTACGATCTACGATTTAAATCACCGTTATTACTGTACAAACACACTCCCTTGTGTTCTATTTCCATGGATCTGATTGCTTGATTAAAAGTAAAGCAGACAACGATATTTAAACGATCGTTAAAAGTAATCATTCTTATTAATTAAAAAATCATTTATTTATTTATATAAATATAATATATCGCAACAAATACGAGATATTAATTTACACGCGGTACTTTAATATTTAATATTACGCGTATTTTGCTGAAAATTCTCATCATTTGAATAGATGGTTCCGTAATTGTTCTGAGCTATGTATAGACTGCTACTGAAAAAGAGGCATCGGTATCCGTTGAATATTCTACTGAATATTCTTCGTTATTGCAGCATGCAAACTCTTTGTTAAAGGAATATCAATAGCATCTGAAAGGCAGAGATATATACGACATATTCCAAATATATAATTTTGGTATAATGGTATAACGATGTTCTGTTAAAAATTACTGAAAAATAGCAGCGTGAAAATTTCAGCTCCGTAAGTGGACTACAACACTCGGCAAGTTAATAATTAATATTAAGCTTCTTTGCCCAATTATCGATTAGTACGCTACAAGACGAAAATAGATCTAAATCTGTATTACCATAACCGAACTAAGTGGAAATTAAACCTTAATGAATAAAACAAATAAAAAAATTGAATTAATAAAGTAGTTATTTTAAAACGAAATATTTATTTAGCACTGATAATCTATCTTTAATTTTATTTTTATTACTTACATCGTTTGACGCTTTCTTCAAAATTACTTCTATATATCTGTATATATATATACACACACACACACGCGCGCGCGCGCACACACACACACACACACACACACACACACACACACACACATATATATATATATGTGCATATATGTATTATTAGATGAAAAATTTAATAATATTATATAGCTATTTAATTTGCAATCTATTTTAAGCAAAAATAAAAATGAAAAAACTATGGGTATGTTAAATTAAAAAAGACGTACAGTAGCTCCTTCGAAAGTGGAGTACATACTGCAATTTCACGAAAACATACATTGCTGCGCGTGTAAGTACATTCTTGAGATGAACGTAAAAACATAGCCGCCGCGAAATCGATAACAGCAACCGAGTTCGAGTTTCACGACGATTCTGCTAAACGAAATTTCAGTTTCCCGTTAATCAATGCTCAAATCTGTTATAATTCAATAATTCATAATCGATTTGAATATGATCGTCGTTGCAATATCTATTTCGACCTTTAATTGGATTAACGTCGTTCCCCACCCAACGTAACCTCAATATCTGGAGTCAAGTGTAAATGAATCTTCTTTTTTTTCATAGAACCATCGCTCGATAAAATCGCACTTGACGAATCGTTTAATCTGATCGTAACAGTTCATCCTACTATATCGATTGACTATCGATGGTTCTATCTACCGTTCGATTCAAGTGCATACTCGTTGCACCGTGCAACATACGTACAGGGATTCAGGTTGAAGCATACAAAATGCATACGTACTATCTAAAGCGTAAACGGAAAACGATGTATACAAAATGTCGTCGAACGGCTGTTGACGAAACGTATTTAACGAAATCAACGATAATATTCATTTCGAATATTCCAGTATATTCCATGTATATTATTGACGTGTAAGCAAAACTGACATAATCGATAAGACAGCGGTTCAAAAGTGTTGCGAAAACAGACGGGCGTAGGTGAAAGAACATCTACCGCATATACGTAGATTTTCACGATCGATCGTCGTGGCGAAGAGGTTTCTACTGTTCTTACCTTTAGCTCCCTGCTCGATCTAACTTTGGTCGTTCGTTTTCTCGAACGAACTTTTCGAATGTTCACCGTTGATTCAGATGGTCGAAAGAACGATGACAGTCGTTAATGGCGGATACGACACTTGACATGAAAATTCAAATCGATGCAAAACTATGAAAACACTCACGGTCCTTACGGTCGGCGGTCACTATTACGTCGGTGCACTGCTTATACTTCGGTGATCGAAACTCTTAATGGACATGTACGCGGACATTATAATGCATTCATCCATGTATCGCTCACGGCTGAGCGTGTACGCGCGCACACCCACACACACATACACTCACTTTACTGTCAAACCACCCTGCTGCTCGAGAACGAGTCACTGCGACACCTCCGGTTGGCGGTCGGTCGTCGAGTGACGAACAGTACTGAAGCGCTTGCGCACTTACCCTTGCGACGTCCATTAGCCGATGGCCGAGTTACCGCGTCGGCGCCATCTGTCGGTCACCTGATAATTACGATACCCCTACCATCGGGTGTCCTTTGAGCCCTTCGGGTCGCCCCGATTCTAATTTATTCCTTTTGGCTAACTTCTTTGAGTCTTGCTCCTTTTTCCGGGGCAATGGCTTGGATTTTAAGTCGTTCTATTTAATAAAATGGCTTTTACAAGAGAACTTATAAATACATTTCTTAAAAATGAGTGCTAAGTATTGGTACTTTTAGAAATAAGACTAATGAAATTACGCTATCGTTCCCTTTATACCCTGTAGTTTATATCTATGAGTCATACGTGATTGGAATACACTGGTTTCAATGGATGATAGGAAAAAATTAGAGCCTGATATCTGCTTTTTCGTGACCTCCCATTTTTCACAAGTACAATATGTCTGTAGAGTGTCATTAAATTATTTTCAAACAGGATCGAGTCCTATTTTCATGAATAAATGCCTCATAAACTATTTCAAAATTCTTAGCAGATACATTTAGGTACTTCACAGAAACAAATCTCCACAAGTAATGTGAACATATATGAGATTATTCATTGTAATAAATGACACATCGTATTGATAAAATTGTTGAAAGATTATAAAATATCTCGAAAGCCTTTCATTTCCTATATATCAACTAAACTCGTTGAGATAAAATGAAAAAAATTATACATAACTGTAACTAAAAAGAGAAAAACTAAAATAAGTCAACTACTCATTCCTTACTATCCAAGTATCTCGTACACATCAAGCAACAACAGTGCGTTTTATCAAAAGACGTCTGCGCAACAGTTCTAATTGAAACTATCGATCATACCTTTATTCGAGCTACTATTCATTGTTACAAATCCGTCGTCCATTTTGTAAAAGAGCTCTCATCTCACCGACGTTTATATAAGATTTTATCGATTCGACAAATTTGCTTATTTTTACACATATTCTACTCAAATCACTGGAGGACCGATATTTTTTCATGATTACTTGCACGATCATCATGCTCATGAAGGGATTGAGGATTCAGTTTTTTTGTAAGCGTGCATAGAGCTATGGGTGCAACCGGAAACAGTGCTAACGTAAACTTACAATCTTCGTGCCTTAATGCGATTTGTAAATCGAGCATGAAGCTTTGTTGATATAGCTAGCGAAATTGGTACCAGACCAAATACGTAACAAAATACGTTCCTCAATCGGTTGAATTATCGTTAATCATTGTAAAGGGAATTATTGAATCAATTTTATGTAACGTTTGCTTGAGCCTCTGTAATCGTTTTATAGGACTTATTAAATCCAGCTTCTTTTACTTGCTCTTTCTGCTAAACCGCGCACGGTTCAGTCGTTGACTAATGCTACTTGATTTCAGTTAATTCCTCGACTAAAACCTTTTCTTATCGGAAAATAAGAAATTAATATTTCTTTTCGCCATTATCATGCTTTGTAGAATGTATTCTATGGATTAATCCTTGTTTTTGCCTTATTAAGATGCCACTGTTTTCCAATTCTGTATAGACTGTAGCGTATAATTCAGTAGTGTACTAGTTCGTAGCAGAAAATTGTAAAATATGGCGCTTTATAGCGATGGCCATTGAATGACATCAAGAAAACGCCATCAGCCATTTTCCCAAGTACCTCCTCCGGGGCATTTTTTATGTCTTGAGGATTATTGAGTAGTCTAACTGTAAAAGGTATCCAGATAGTCGAACCGTAAGTGTAAAACATGAATGAAGTTCCTCTCGATGCAGATGCCACGTTCTACGAATAATTTATGCATCCCTAATCGATGCTATGTACAATTTGTTATTCTTAGACAGTTCAATGCAGTAATTTGAACAATTATCAATAAACCTAACCGAACATAACAATATTTCTTGAATGGCAATAAAATATTTAATTTTCATCGTGTCGTCTCAAGCTATTTGCTAGAAAAAGATATTATTGCACTTTACATCAAATAACTAAATATTAATTATATAATAAAAGATGATAAAATTTTAGTATTTACCATAGAAAATATATTAATAACACGAAAGCAATTGAATTATAATAATTCGTTAAAAATATTTAAGATGACAAAATTTAATTGTTTCCCTCTGATTGTCCAGAAATCAATATACTTTATACACGAGGAAACATGTATACATAATACATGTTCGATACTGTTAAATATGATCATTCCATTCGAGTAAGTAAAAGGTTTCTGTTCGGCTATTTACTACATAGAAACTACCTCTAAAGATATGGCAGATGTAAGGGTTGCTTAAAAGAACAAAGGTCGCACAACTATCCCTCATTGGTAAATCTGTGATATTTGCTCATATAACAAATCATTAAAAATAAAAATGTTAACAAATTCCAGACGATTTTTCAATATTTCTCAATAAAATTAAATCTATTTCCATAAAAATGCTATTATTGATCATTCATATACATTTGTATATCATGATCTTTATAATACATTCTTCTACCAATCGTGCAAAGTTGATAAAAATTGTATTTATATTAAAGTTTATATATTTACATTATTTTTGAACGTAAAAGCAATAAACTTGCAATAATATGAAATATCATACATAGAGGGTGGAAATATTTTCATAAAACGAAGATCTTCACCAAATGAGTCACGCACATCAATGACGTCAAAATACACACGTATCAACACCCCAAACCCACGCTTTCATGAATAGCACATCAGATTACTGCTCCGTTCGGTATTGGAATGATCCATGATTGTAATTATATTTTATGTAATTCTTTAGATTTATTAACCCTATAAAGTTAAAAAATATCTGCATTAGACAAATCAAGTTCACTGACATCGGTTTAAATTATCCACTTAGGCTGGTATATGAATTTCTGTGCAAATTGCTCTTCTGGGATGAGAAATAGTAAAGTTCTGTAGCAATTTATTTAACGTAATGATAGGTTCGTCAGATAATTTTCCATAATTTGTTGCCAGGAAGAAATATGCAACTATTCATAATAATTACTCGTTACGACATCGCGTTATCCGAGAATATAGGATAATTATGAACGTGAATTAATATCGAAATAAAAGGTAAAATAATAAGTCTGCGGTAACGTATTTTTTCAGATGCAATTGCCCTAATTTTCACCTTGTATAATTCTACATCTATTGCGTGGGAGAGTCCTGTAATTAAGATAAATTGATCGTAAACACATCAGTCCTGATTATCACCAGCGATACGAAGTGTTTGGTTTCAAAGAATCACTACTGTGGCCTGTCACATGTGAGAATTACTTTCAAATGATTAAAGTAAAGCATATATCCAAAGACGTGAAATCTCAATTAACCTCATTTTTCTATCGAAAACAAGGTAAGCAAAAGATAACTTTAATACAAAATCTCGAACAAATATTTAAGAATTATTCCTATATTCCATTAACTACCATAAACTTTATTAACATCGAATTTTTTGTATCAAACTTTTCCATCAAAGCACCTTGACATTTTTTATCAAGATTGAAACATGCATCCAAAACGCGAATATTTTTCAAAATATCGTAAGAAGATATTTTTCATTTGAACTGTTCACAATGAAACTTAGAAAAGAAAACAGACAAAATGTTGACAAATATAAATTTATCTATTTTTAAAATAAAGAAGACGAAGAAATTCGAAGAAAGAAATTAGCATTTGATTAACGATATTTCAAGATAATTCTTCATTTCTTCAATAACTAAAGCAATAGAATCTCTTGTTAAATATCCTAAGATAAGACAATGAAGAGAAAGAAGCATCTGCGATTAAAAATATTCGAATGATCGATCTGAAGTCGTCAAGGTATGCGCACATGATTGCCCGATAGGAATTCGCCCTCGAAAAGTGGAGTAGCATCGAAACCGGTAATGCACGGTGGTAGGTGGTTGGAAGCAATATGGCGGCCGTGTTAGCGGTGTCGAGTGCGCGCGCCGATCGACATCGTGGTCCAGGGTCGTGCATGCCCGCTTTCTCCGTTTATGGACCAATCACATCGCGCCTAGAGGAGAAAATCAATAGGCGCAGAGGTACGGATGACGTCAGCCTGCAACCCGACGATCGACCGATGCGACGCGGGCGGCGCCGGCCAATTTCTACAGAGCAATCAATAAGTAAAGATATCCACGATGTCGGCAATAGAACCCACGTATCTTTATTCCAGCATTACCTGAATATCTCACTACTTGCTATTATTTAGTCAAAACTCTAGTCATTTGTTATAATACAACTATGATTCTTATCCATGAAAGTCATCTCCGAAGTTGCAATTGCTTCATAGATGTAACAGATGAACTACGGATATTATCAGAAAATTTAAGAATTTAATTATCATAGATATCTATTTACGAATTCACGTTTGAGCACAAAACGTATTACTAACTTGAGCTTTTTGATAAAGAGATAAAGAAATTTAGCCCGATATTCATATCTTGATCAACGAATGTTCTTTAATAAAAAAAATTATCTTATATTTATATATTGTATTAGAGTAAATATTTTAATATTGCCCCAAAATTATTCGATAAAATTATTTTTCCGTAATATTGCACCGTAAGCTAATATATGGGAAGTACCATTAACGTATGTTCATATTTCATGAAATTTCTAGCTTCCGTTGTAACAATAAATTCTTTTATCAAAACTTTAAAATTTTTTGACGCGTGGCATAAATTATATATAGAATGTTCAATCACACATTAATTATCATTCTATTAAAATTATACATGTATGTGCAAAGTTTAAAAAAATGTGCAAATATCAAGAAAGGAAAACTAAATTTTGCACTTGTATCTAATTTTGCATTAATGATACTAATACAATAATAAACCAAATAACAAACATCTGACACTTTTATTCTTATTATCATTCTTAATATAATCGCCTATTCGTGCACAACAATATTTTCTAGTGACTTTACTCAATTTAGAAAACATATTTTTTAACAACTAGCACTTATTTAAACAAATGAAGGGCAAAAACATCACACTCTTTAAATATATATCAAAACAGTTTCTTTATTTTTTTCTTTTTTCCTACATTAAATATTATTTTGTAAGTTTTTTCCATTATCTCGAAGTTTATAATATCGTTAATTGTTAAAAAAGATAAAAGCAATTGAAGAAAAACGTAAAAATCTTTTTAAATTTTTTAATTTTCTGATGAGTCGATCGTTAAATCAAAACAACATTCATATTTAGACACTTAATAGTCAATTTCCGTTAACATATTCCTAATGAACTTAATTCTGCACAAAGATTTAATTTGTATTTCGCAATCTATTCAACATCAACCTTCTACAAAGATGCAGCTATATACTCTAATTTTAAAGAAACTAAACCCTAAAAATGTATTATAATTTTCTCGTAACGATCTGCAACTCGAACGTATTTGTGCAAAAGCGTATCGTCAGGTGGCTTCGTGTTTTACCAACAAAAAATCTTGTGGCAAAAACGAGTCGATTCGACGCGCATTGGCTAGGACGAAAGCGCCACCTTCGATCGTAATTAACACTTCTGGTGATGCACTAAGATAGTGAATCATTCGAAAGGTGCTGCAAACGTACTCTTAAATTTATTGGTTTTAAAATTAACTGATCAGAATTATATATAATATATGTATATTTATATTTATGTACTAAATATCACTTGATCTTCACATAAATGTACACAAAGACATATTAAAAGCGAATAAATGATAACCTTCTTTTTTAATTCGCTTTTGACGTGACAGGAAAACATACTATAAATCTTGTGAAACAAATGTCAAGTATCAATGAAAATCATCTATTAAAAGTATTCTAAAATATTTTACTTAAAACCTTGAGATATTCAAAATTATTTACATTTTAAGAAATATTTAATTTTACTCTAATTATATTCGATAAAAGTTTCTATAAAATTCTTTTGATGATTTTTCGTATAATATGCTTTCAAGTGATTACCATATAAAGTACAGCTAAGCATATTAATAAAGCAATAATGAACAAGATAAAAGAATACAATGTCGACAAAATTTTTAAAATAGTTGTCTGACTAAAGTTACACATATTTACTATATACTGTAGATAACGAAACACGTAGGAAATTAATTTATGACGCAGGCGACGTCCAAAACTTCATAATACTGATATTACACATAAATGGGTCTATGACGGCTACAATAACAGTACCACGTTCGTGCATTTATAACAAATGTGCTATTAGTGCAAATGTTTAAGTGACAAGAATGTTTTTAACTCACCAGATACGTAGGCAATGACGTGAAAACAGCTGAGGTCCTCCGGCCATACTGGTTCTAGTTCCGTAATGTTCCTCAAGACACGGTGTGAACGCGTCGCGACGCAAAGCGATTCGATTCTAACCGATCGATTATCAAAGGCGCGGGTTAGGCGTCTTTTTCTTCTTTCTCAACACTCGCTTGTACAGTTTACTAACCGTGTGGCGCTGATGTCCATTTTCTATTCGCAGAATAGAGTAATACTTCATGCGAAAACTCTAGTGCACACTGCCCATTGATATTATTCCAAACGAAAACGGATCACACCGCGATACGATGGTTATCGATATATAATAATTTAAATAGCGCGCTTCGACTGAGCGCGTAATTTTCAGTTTGATTTCAATGCAAAAATTTTACTTCTTCAATTAATTTTAATACATTAACAACATTCGTTTCATATTTTTTATAAATAAATAAGTATTAATAAAATATTTTCATAAATATTTTTAAAGGCATAAAAGCTTTTAGAAAAAATATAAATGCTTTATGTGACTTCGAGGTTAAATGCTTTGTAAATATAATAAATCCATTATATTTAACAAAAGTGAATTTTATTATTTGTTACATATGTGTACAATATATAACAGAGATATATAAAACCATATATGTCTTTTTAAGACAAATAACACGATAGAAAATATAAAATTAATTTTCAAGAAAAGGTTATACTAGGTAAGAATTACTTTCGATGCTATTATAATTTCGTACAATTCCTAACGTCCAGCAGCATTCTTGTAGCGTGAGTTTACATCATTCCAATTTACAATATCGAAAATAGCTTTAACATAGTCGGGACGAACATTCTTATATTGTAAATAATACGCATGTTCCCAAACATCAATACCAAAAAGTGGTATTAAACCGGTCGTAGCTTGTAGGGGATCTTGATTACTACAAGTAGCTATCTTTAAAGATTTTGATTTTTGACAATATCCAAGCCAACCCCAACCAGAGCCTTGAACCGCAATAGTACTTTCGGATAATCGTTTTTTCATCTCTTCTATATTGCCAAAATCCTTCTCTATCTGTTGGAGGAGTGCAGCTGTAATAAGAAAACATTTTGTGATTAATTTTATTATAGAATATTTTAATACGAAAGTTTGCAACCTTTTTCAAACATTTTATTTACCGTCCGGTTTGCCGCCATTTGGTGAAAGATTACACCAAAAAATCGAGTGATTCAAATGACCACCTCCGTTGAATTTAATTGCAGGACCCAACGTAATTTGCATATTAACATCGCCTTTGGCAACAGCTTCTTTCATTTTTTCTTCAGCAACATTCAAATTGTTAACATAAGTTGCATGATGCTTTGAATGATGAAGTTGCATAATTTCAGCAGAAATAATAGGTTCCAAAGCTTTATAATCATAAGGTAAATCAGGCAGTGTATGCTTTGCTCTTGTACATGTATCTTTGCTAAAAATTAAAAATAAATACTAGTACTATTTCTAATATATTCGCAAAATTTTTATATTTTTTATTTTAAATCTTTTGAATTAAACATTAAAAGATTTTAATATCTAAAAATCTGTATAAAAACGTTATAAAATTAAACATAATTTTTAATTTCTAGAAAATTCCAAAATTGTATCATATTTAACTCCAATATTTAAAAATATTCTTTCCATAAAATATTAATTTTGTTTTCACTGATCATATTAATATTATCTGGTCATGTTGTTTATTTTATGTTATTATTTTTATCTTTAAGCTTTTTATTTTTTACATCACATGTTTAAAAAGCGATTAACCATTATTTTATTGTCTATATATGTGCCACAAATATACTGATATTCAAATGTCACATTGACAATGTGCTTATCTAACATATCTGCATGCCAGAGGTCAAACTAAATTTATATTTATTTTTTATACACACGGTTAAATTAAGCAGTTTAATAATGTGCTTAAATATGTTTTTAAAAAATTACACCTTTTACAGTCGGTTCGATATTGTCAAAATTGACAGGCATATCAAATATGTTTTATTAAGCATTATTACCAAATTTTCAATTTACTATCGTGTAGTATAAAATAAATTTTACACTAAATGGAATTATATAAATAAGTATCTGAACTGAATTATATATTTAATTAAACGGAGAAATCAATTTCTACCAAATGCGTTCAATTCCAAATTTTAATATTGTCTTTGTAATTATTTTTGAAAATACAAATATTAGCTTTTTACACATTTATATATGTACAATGTTAATAAATACAATTGTCTTACAAATAAAAGATTTAATATTAACGATAAAAAGTAAATGAATTATAGGTTAGAAATTACATAATATGAATTATACCTTAATTATAAATGAAAAATAAAATTGACTTACATGATATTGGAGAAAAGTGCACGTCTGGTTGCAAACATCATTGAAACGTTAATGAACCAAGTTATTTTTATAAATTAATGACACAAAGTCGTAAAATGCGAGAGCAACTTTCTATAGCAGACTTATCACAGTCCCTTGCAAGTACTTAATGTCGAATACGCCGGAAAACGGTTCGACTACCAACTATACAAATATCAATTATTACGTCATAGTTTCTTTCATCGACAGCAACACAAATATATATTCAAATAATTTTCGTTTACTTGGACAATATTTGCATATTTAGGCCGATTTTTAAAGAATATTTTTTCACTTTAATAAATGTTACATATTTTTAAAGATTATGTTACTAACTTAAAAATATTTTGTGTAACGTTAAACGAATTCAAATATTTTTATTAATTTTATTTTAATTTTAATTTTCATACACGCTATTTTCATAATTGTAAAAATTAATGAATCAACAAAATAATATTTTATTTTATCATTATTATAAATAATTGTTCTTGTATGTTGGAAGGTAACCTTTAATTGATAAATTACACACTGTACAATGATAGTAATCGGTTTTTATATAGATATATTTAAGATGATATATTTAAATTGAATTATGGACAAATCATATTTTAATTATAGATAATCTTCCAAAAATTGTATACCAAATACGATATATACTCAAATCCAGACTGAACATTACATACCAAAATTATAAATGAATGAAAAAGGAAAATTTGTTTTTATAAGAAAAATGGTAAAAAATATGTGCTTTGATACAAGGTAGTATAAAATAGTAATATAGATATTTTGTACATTTGTCCTTGAAAAAAAAAAAATATAGCTGTGATATTTTGTGATCTATAAGATCAGTCTGCAAGTTTTACTGAAATTAATATCACTTTGTATTTCATATAATTTACAGGTATTTAATAAATCTAACAAGAGACCTCAATTTTATTGTACACAATTAAAAGCACATTTTATGCATCAATAACGAATATTGATACGCGTGTCTCACAATGAAAAAACAATACATACATACAAATTATTGCGCACATAATCGTGTATAAATCTACGTATGTGCGTCGTCGTATATCAGATATTAACATTTGTGTATTTACATAATAGAAAAGGCATAGCCCTGATTATTACTTTATTGTTATTTATATTTTTCATGATTGCTTCAAAATGTCTAACAAGATGGACTACCATCAATGTTTTAACGAATTTACAAAAAGCCATTCAAAAACATTGAAGCATTTATTCATAATAACGAATACTTATTAGAAACTTTAATGCGATTTCATTGCAAAAAGAAAAAATAATTTTAACTATCTACCCCTTTATTCCAACGCCACGTTATTTTGTGTACATATAATCATATGTAATCAAGTGCAGTTTTTCTGGCATTAACGTGACTGTAAAACATTCAAATAAGAGATATTTTAACGGTCACACGTCATGAAAAATTATACAAAACCATTAGAAACAATATTTCTCATAATGTGTTTCCATGTTATAATTCTTAAATATGAAATATTAGATTCAACTTATGTTGTGTATTAAGTCACGTTAAGCTCTGTTCATATGTAACACGTGTTTTGTATATAAAATCGTTCTAGAAAACTGTTCATTCTGGATCGCTCTGAAGTGTCTCACCATTAGTTAGAACTAGCGCATCATCATCAGCTTCATTATAATCAAGAGAAAGAATACTCTCTCTTCTTTTTTTCTTGTGTGTCCTTTCGTCGTCACTACCTGGTGCACTTTTGTCCCTTTTGGTCCTATCCCTACCCCTAGTTATTCTAGTTAGTACCTCTTCCCCATTAGTTTTATTGTTATTTCTATTATGACTTTTGCTTCGCAATATCCTTTTATTATTTCGATTTTCTTCGTGTTCTTCTTCCCTATCACTTAATTCCTCATTCTCAACTTTGATAATTAAAGCAGCCGAATCACTTGAGCTTTCATCATTATGATCTGCTTGAATGGGTTTTCGTTCAACCCGTTCTGTTCTTTCAGTATTTGAGAAATCACACTGAGGAGATCGTTGCGATGATAACGGTGGAGTCCTAGCACCTTTGCACACATCACTATCCTCCATAGATTTTGAAGTCTTTATTTCCGGAATTGAATTCTCCTCCAATTCCTCCTTTTTAATTGGTGGCGTGTGAGGGGATAAACCATTTGTTAAATTGTTTTCACTCGAATTTGCTTTTAGGGCTGCATTTTCATGCTGCAACAACGTGACTGATTCGCGAGCTTTACGCAGCTCTTGTTGCAAGAAATAAATTGTGCTCTGCATTCCTTCAACGTCCTCATCTAAATCTTGCAAAAATTCATCCAATTCTATAATAAAAAACATCATCAATTCATATTAACAACTTTGTCGTACGATATATACAGATAAATAAAATAATATAAATAAATAAAATGAGCAAAGAAATTGAAATAGTACCTGATTGTGATTTTTTCATTTCTTCACTGAAACTTCTTTGAAGGGCAAGATCTCCTTCCAACTTAGCAATTCGTCCGCTAGCGATCATACGTCCTAATTCTTCATTTTCTTGATATAATAATCTGCATTTTGCCATTAATCTTTTACCTGTATTGCTGGAAATAAAAGAAGTATATAAAAATATAAAAAATTTAAGCATATTATTTATTACTGTTAAAAAAATATGAACTATTATCTACCTATCTGGTGTAAATTTCCAGGCACTAAGTTCGTTCTGAGTATCCTCTAATTTAGCTTTAGTTGTAACAAGTTCTTGTCTTAATTTCTGAATTAAAATATTAACAGCTGGATCTAATAAAGCAGATCTTAATGCCACAGCAGATGGAGCATGAGCAGCTTTCATTTCAGCAATCTGATTCTAAAAAAAAGAGAAAAAAATTATATACTAATATTTGAAGCTTTTTAATTAATTTTACAAATTATAGAATTTACATACAATATATTCTTGCAATTCTTGTTCTTTAGAAGCAAGTCTTCTGACTAAAATCTTCTCTCTATGAGATGCTTCTGCATGTTGTTGTCTATACTTGCTTTCAGATTCTCTCAATGAAGATAGCTCACCTACAAAAAAGAGTTATATCATTTCCTCTTTTAATTAAAACTTTATTGTTTAAAGCTATCTATGTGCTTCGTTAATTTGTTTAATATTTATCGCGGTCATTGTTATTATATAATTTATTATATTATTTTATTATATTATATTATATTAAACTATTTATAAACATTTAGATAATTTGGCTATATCATACAAATATAAAAATGTACAATTTCTATTACATTTTGGAAAATTACAATTTTTATATTTCTTAT